TGAGGTCTTTGAAAAACCCCCCTTACATGTTATATCCAAATTGCACTCGAAAGCATGCTATTACCTATACTAACTCAGCAGTACATGCATTGGAGCATTTATCAACTTAAATTTCCGTAAAATATTTCGATCTCAAATTTGCTTCTAAAGTTTCCTAATGACCCTCACCGTCTTATTTATAAAATATATATTTGATTTACACGAGTGTGGATGAACTTGGGGCGAGCTACAATTTTGAAACGTTATTTAGCGTTCCCAGAGGGGAGGAGGTAAGGGAGGCCACATAAACGCAAGAAGATAATTTTGGTACCATTTCACACTTGCCGCCTATCTTGTGTTCTTAGCTTAGCCCAGGATAACTTAGCTCAGCTATACCATCATTCAACAGCATACCACTCACCTATATTTGCTGTAACCAGTGAATATCTCTAACTTATCAAATACTATAATCACATAAACACAAGCAATGGATGCTGTCACCAACTGACAAATAAACAAGCACAACAGATAATTCTTTTTGAACTCCCTGAAACCCCACAACAAAAAAACGGTTGTCGGAAACCATCCATAAAACGGCAGTAATTTCAATGAGAACCCATGCAATCATTTGTAAAATCCGCACGTGCGAAGGAACCACGAACTTGTCATGCACCCATTGTATGCACGCATTAGTTGTATTCAAGTCAAGATAGACAAGTCCAACGATCAACGAGCCTATTATGGAAACAGCCTTCATTACTAATCCGACATTTGCCTTACAACTTCGCAGAAATGATTCGCAGAAACATCGCCTGGGTTCTTGAGTAGTTTGCACCAAAGCAGATAATTCTTCTTCATAATAAGGTAAATCGGGCTGTTCCCCTTGCTCGTACTCACGGTTAATCAAGCCATCACACATTTCGTCTTGTTCAGGATTTTCTCCGAATATTAAGCTATAGTCTCTTGCAAGAGTTTCCCTGGACAAAGATGGTGTTTGAATCAGTTCCAAAAAAAGGGCGACAAAAGAACCAATTAATTCTTCCAGAATCATTATTCTGATATTACTTTATTTGTCTCCAGCAGATGCAGATGTGACTGCTGGCATTGGAATAATACAAACACTATATTAAGAAAATAATATAAACATTATACAATAACATCCTCTATTCAAACACTCGAACGGATGTAGCTATACGTTCGCTTTCGTAATATCTTTGACAAATAATTGTGCAAACTGAAACTTTGAAGACGATATGGATACTCACGAAGAAATACTTTTTTAATTCGAATTTTGGAATTGATGTTGAAAGTGGGTAAACATTCTATGCGAGATTCGCGTCTTATATAGCAGGAGATGTTTTAAGTTCTTTGTAGGTTTGCATGGCGATAAAAAATATAATGTTTTGTTTGTGGAAACACCACGTAAATAAATTGCAGTAGTAAATTTACGTGGTGTTTCCACAAACAAAATATTATAGGAGATGTTTTTTATGATAGTGCTTCGGTGAAATTGAAATCGCAACATTTGACTGACATATTTGTTCGAAGTTTGCAAACTTTTCCTTTCGCAGCAGACGCATAAACATCCTTGTCTTTTTCGAAAGGAAAAATCGATCATCAATGCAAAATTCGCAAAATTTATTACATTGAACGAATTAATGAATGTTTTACGGCCAGATACTAATTGCATATCACGTTGAAATATGATTTTAACTGTAAATAAATAAACACTAGTACAAAATGTGCGGAGAATATGATATACGTCGTTTGCAACTTCCTGTCTGATATTGGAGAGCTTCAGCAAGCGATGTTTTTGACTGACGGAAGATACTTGGTATTTAGTGTTTATAAAAATACACGAGTAATTGATGGAGACCTATTATTCACCCTAGTGCTGCGCACTTCAATACTGCGTCTGTCCGCTTTCACTCCAAATTATATGAAGCTTTTGCGCTCTCTATGTCGTTTGCAACTTCCTGTCTGATATTAGAGAGTTCCAGCGCGCAAGCCATGTTTTTGACTGACGGAAGCGCGAAACACTTCCTTAAGTTATTGCCTGCCTTGATATTTAGTGTAATACTAGGAGTTACTATCGCAAAGAAAGTGCTGCCCTTTTGCCACATGAAAGGACCCAATGGGCTCATTACTTTTGACCCAATGGGCTCATTTCCACGTTTCATCATTGGTATATATAATATGGCAAGCCTGCACATGAAGGTTATATCCCCTATGTTTCCTGCACAAATTTGTTTCTCGTTCATCACAAACTTATAAATAACCAACATGAAAATGAGGTCATTGGGTCAAAAGTGGATAAACAGCATTAAGGTCTATTAACCCATTAGCTGACTCTGTCTAACGCCAGGCAAATTTACGCTGTGTAACGTCAGACGATTTTACTTGTCAGTGGTAGAGTAATCTGCCAATGTCTCTTATTAATAACCCATTAGCTGGCAATACGCCCTATATACTTTAGTATTTACTACACCCCAATTTAAAACATTACATTTTTACGATTTTTATTGTTTCTAATTGTAAATATCTCAGCGAGAATTCCCCTCCCCTTTAAAATGAAAAACAGCATTGTAATCCTGACAAAATAACCTTTTCAACGGGGGTCAAATGCCATCAAAACATTGCACGAACCAAAACAATCATGTATTTACTCATCGCTTGGCCAAACATTCTATATTTCAAATGGAGAAAAAAACTTGAATATATTCTAAACTCTTCAGGATTTGCTCAGAGTCATGTGAGTAAAGTACTCTTTGTATTCAAGCGCTTTTATGTAGAAAGTTTCGTTTGAATACGGTACAGAGAAGAAATATTTATTTTGAATTTTTCAAAATATCGGGTTGTTACTCGCACGCACGCGCCACGTGTGTACTTGGCCATATATAGCCCGATGCACGTGCATACCATGCCACTGGGAGTACTTCTTTTATAAAGTAACTCTTCCACTTTTAGTTGTAATTCCTCGACATTCTCCATTGTATAAACAAATACAGCAGAGTGAAAACCCTTTCGTATCGTCTTACATAGTATCGCTTATATTTCCACCAAAATTGGCTTTAATTCCATCCCTAAACCAGTAAACACCGCGGAAAAACGTCCGCGCATGCGTCAACATTACTGAAATTTGTATTGCGAACGTGATGTCAAGTGTTCCGAATGTCAAAAACTCAAAATGGAAGCGACTTCGATGTTTTGCCTTTTCTATGAAAATGCAAGCGGAATAATGAACATGACAACTTAGAACCTAGAAATAATTATAGTCTACATGTGCAAGAAGTAGTATTATGAAAGAAAATAAACCAAAGGTGATTGTCGATTAATTTATTGTCAGATAAAACGTTCTTTAACTGAACTATACAAAGATATTTTTCGTAGGTTCATGTGACCACATTTTTGTGGGGTAATGATTTACTCTACAATTTAATCGTGTGCAGATGCTTAACTATTCTATAGTTTTCTTAACTTCTCTGCTTTAAGTTCGGTATTCGACAATTTTTCAAGAAATGTTCGCACGCCTCCCGGTCTTAAACAGTAATTTTTAATTTAAATTCTGTTTCTTTTTAGATTTTAAATGTTAAAATCTTTTTATTCATGTCTAAACTACCCGTCTAGTGTATTTTTTTTGTTTGTTTCAATTACCTTAAATCATTAAATAGCCATGTTTTTGTTTACAATTTGGCATTTAAATTCCTCGCCATCTTTTTTGTGCCCCACGCATGCGCAGACGTTTTTCCGCGGTGTTGT